TTTAGTCCCAAACTTTATATTTGATACAATTGAGTCATTTTTAGCTATTTTTGCATTCTTTTCTCCAATTTTTCATCAAATATTGAGTTTTACCTACGAAACGAAATATAACACAAATTAGGTAGTATTTTATCCAAAGAACAGTAAAGTATCATCATTTAGGATCTTGAATAAAAACTACACTTATCAAAACTCCAAACTTGAATCTTTGTTTATTCTCAAACAAATCTAAAACCTTACAAACACACAAACACGCAGTGCTAATTACCTAATTGGTGGCCAGTCAATCAAGCAATGTGAAAAGATTTAGCTAGCTAACCTAACTTTTTATCTCAAGATTGAAATCATAATATTAAATGTATGTACACTTTAAAAATCACAATATAGAAATTAAAATTTATTTTTCCAATGTAAAATCAATGTGAATATGTGTGTGAAGAATTAAGTATAGTATTATGAATTCATAAGTTGTTTCAATTCCCGACTCTCAATGGTCAAATATGTTCTTTCTTCACCGTAAGATTCACACACCCTCAAACTTATTCTTTTCACACTTTTTAAGTGTGTGACTTAAATTTGAATTTTTACATTTTCCTCACCTTTCTAGTTTAGGTAAATCTCGTTAATTGCAAATCGGTATGTCAATAAACAAGGATTCTCCATAATTTGATTGCTTCAATATTTAAGACTCAACTAGGCTAATAATCTCTTATCAAAAGTCAAATTTTCTTAAACGAGTGTTTGAGACTTAACCAAGGCATTTTGTGCGTCTTTTGTTTCATGCACCTGCTTTTTCAATTTTTATTCAACAATTTTTTTCTTTATTTGCAGCATTCTCTCTCTTAAACTTTCTAAATGACTCATTTAGCAAGTTTTAGGGTGATGACTCCCAAGTCAATTGATTTTAGGGCAACAAGTTTTAACACTCTTACAGGCTTAATAACTCAAGTTATAAATGTTACAATGAGAAATTTTCAAATAAAATATTTTTTTTTATGCCTTGATTAGTACAATATCCCTTATTAAACACCAATCCAAGTAAACCAACTTTTAACTTGAGATTTTCATCCAATCGCATCATATTGACATTAGACAATCCACACAAGATTTTTAATTTCACACATGGAATCCTCATTTATCTTAAAATCTTTCCACAATAGTGAAATCCCTCAAATTATTCTAAATTT